AGTTTAGCATCACAGTAACACACAAGCCCCCACTGACAGACAGGTGGTGGCCACACATGAGGTGCGTTGGCTGGGAATCGAACCCGGGTCTCCGGAGAATTTTACACCTGAACCATCAGTGTCCCCCTGATATAAATATCACTGACTCTGTTAATATACAGCTGCCACACATCGAGTGAATGGAAGTGGGTAGACAAGATGCAGTGTCTACGGAAGAAGGGACAAGAAGTGGAAGCTGCCCGTGTCATCCCAGGGTGCAGAGGAGCAGAGGAAGGACTGACAGCCAGAATCGGATGCAGGGAGAAAAAGAGGCGGGACGGTTGGTGTGGGCTAATCAGCCATCACAACAAGGCACCACGGACGGGTCTTGAAGCTGAGAAGGTTTGAATTAGTGTATGTTTTGCTGTGTATATGCTCAATAACAACAACAACAAAATAAATAAAATTTAGAAAAAAAAAGTAATAAATGGCTAAATGAAATTTTTTTAAAAAGCCGATAAAGTGATTATGGTACCACAAGTATAATATTTATCTATATGGAAACAGTCACAGAAGAAGCTGAGAACATCTACAAAGTGGCTCCTCGGAGGACCAAGACTAACCGAAGAAGAGGCAGGGTGAGACACTGCTGTGTTTCATGACAAACTTTTCCATAACGTTTTATATTTTGAGCCATATGCATGTGTTACTTTGACTTATTTTTTTTAAACGGCAGAACTCTCTATAGGACCTTTGTTTAGATCAGAGCAGCAGGATTTTCCTCAGCTTTTAGCAGGCCTTACAGTGGTGCGTGGAGACCAGTACAGATGGTTTTACCGTGTGTTTACTTGCTTTTAATCTCAGTAAAGTCGGGTTTAAACTCTGAAAGTGAACAGTTATTTTATGGATCTGGAAAGCAGTCCAGTTCTGACCTGTTATAAACAGAGCAGACTGGCTTTGATGATCATTTTAGATCTTCAGAATATGGGCTTTCACAGCTAAAAAGAGTGAGTTTTAAAGGTTCCAGTTCTATAAGAGACACTTCAAACGCAGGCTAAAGTATCCCGGAGCCGCTGAGTCCGTGAAATCCTATCAATTCTTAGACAGCAAAAGCTCAAACCTTGCGTTCTCCAGGGGGGCTTTTTAACTTTGAAAGAAATTAACTGATAAACATAACTAGCCGAAAAGCTTAAGGAAACAGTATATCCTATTACACCCACGGACTAGGAAGTTTAATTACAAAAAACAGTCGGGTAAGTGGTATGGTTGTTGTCCTGAACGTTTACCAAGCTCTGACCGCAGAGCGAGGACCCCAGCACACATCCAGGACAAGAATGTACTAATTAGGGTGCTCGGTCACTGCGGGCGCCCACAGGTGGGCGGCAAGTAATGGCGCCTACAGGGAACGAGCAGAGGGAGGACGGCAGGGAAGCTAAAGCTCATAATGGATTACATTTTTAATGAAGAAAAGGAAGTAAAGGAACAACTTATCTTCACTGATGTCATACCCTGAAGTGGCTGACACAGTACGACAAACAGCTATGTAGATCCTGCTTTGAATTTTACAGATTCAACACCCTTCCCGAAATGGCAGTGAGAACAAAAAATTCCCAGAGAGCCAAAAACAATGTTTTTCATTTAAAACAGGTTTTTAAATATTTTTGTTACAAGTCTGCAGAGGAAATGGAGATAAGTTCAGAATACTGTATTTATTCTCAAACCTGAAATAATAGCATGCGTCATTAAGTAAAACGTTAAACAAATCATTTATCATACGCCCCCCAATCAATCTCTCTCTCTCTCTCACACACACACACACACACACACACACACACACACACACACACACTTGCATTCATGCAGCCCTTTAAAGCATCACATTTGCTCCTCTGAAGTAGCAGCAGCTCCAGGCTGTCTCAATATCTTAATTGCTCATCCCTACAAGATCTCACCCAGCATGCCCTGGTCTTCTGAAAGGCTCAGGGACACGATTGATGGGTTACATCATTCATTCATTAAATTTTACCCAGATCCCTTAGAGCAAATTCTGCTTCCTCTGGTTTATATCAAAATTAAAGCACCTGCTAGCATTTATGACTTCAGACACTTTCAGAAATGGCAAGAATTGTTGATTTTAGTAATCTCTCATAATACTACACATTTAGGACAAATTTTTATTGTTGTTGTGATTTGATAAAGCTTTTTGCTAAAAAGGCCCTTGGGTGGAAGCAACTCGATTGAAGCCATAAACCAAGAGTTATATTGACAGAAAGGAAAATAACCAGGTAAGTCAGTCAAATTTCATTTATGTTTCCCAGAAAATAGAAATGTTTAAAAAAACCAAACCAAACAAAAAAAAGCCAGAAATACCGGGGGAGGAGTTTCAAAGGACTGGCCCACCGTGTTGTAATCACAGCAGACCACCCAGAAGGCTTCCTGCAGTAGGCGTATTGTTCCTTCTCCACATTATTTAACTGTCCTGGTAATTCGGTCCATATTCCTCTGTCTTCCTCCACCCTACCTCTCAAAAGCATCCCCACATCTCAAGGAGAAGTAAAAGGAAAGCAGTTTTGCGTTCTCTGTAGACCCCTGACATAGGAACCCACCTGGCACACACCTTTCAGAACTGAGATCCTGGAGAAGGTATATGTCTGATGTACTTCCTGTCCACTCTGCCCCAGACTGGACCAGCTAGTTCCCTCTGTGGGCATCCACCCCAGGATACACAGATGACCCCAAGGGCAGGAGAGCCGCTTTACCCTTTCCTACCCTGTGGCCAGATGAAGTATTGGTGGTTCAGTAGTAAAATTCTCACCTTCCATGCAGGAGACCCAGGTTTGACTCCTGGCCAATGTACCTCATACGCAGCTACCACCTGTCTGACAGTGGAGGCTTGCAAGTTGCTGTGATGCTGAACAGGTTTCAGTGGAGCTTCCAGACTAAGATGGACAAGGAAGAAAGGCCTGGCAATCTACTTCCAAAAATCAACCAATGAAAACCCTATGGGGATCACGATGGTCCAGTGCACATGGGAATGGTGCAGGATCGGGTAGAGTTCTGTTCTGTTGTGCATGGGGCTGCCGTGCATCGGGGGCTGACTCAAAGGCAGCTAACAACAACACTGTGTCGTCAATCTCTTTTGAGATATAAAGGAAAGAAGCCAGCAGAGAGGAGAGGGGCCTCCTATCACCAAGAAAGCAGAGCCGGGAGCAGAGCACGTCTTTTGGACCCAGGGTGTCTGTGCTGAGAAGCTGCTAGACCAGAGGAAGATTGATGACAAACACCTTCCCCGAGAGCCAACAGAGAGAGAAAGCCTTCCCCTGGGGCTGGTGCCCTGCATTTGGACTTCCGGCCTCCTAGACTGAGAGAATAAACTTCTGTTTGGTAAAGCACTTGTAAAGCACTTGTGCTGTTTCTGTTACAGCAGCACTACATAACGAAGACACACGTCTGTCAAGTTCTCATTTTCACACTGACTATAAGGCAGCCCACAGATGCATTTAATGCTCACATAAATGAGCCATTTTTATTGGGGGTTCCTGACAGAACAATCCCGCCTCCTCTGTTGTTTGGCCTCTGGCCTCTCTGACTTAGTTCAATTGTGCCAGCTGTCACAGCAGTTTCCGGAAACAGGCAGTGTATAACTAGAGTGCATTTCTTCTCTGCTTGAGAAGAACGATACAGACTTAGAGACAGTCAGGTACCCCAACATCCCACATGCCAGTGCTCAGAATGGCACTCAGTCAGCCTATGGCTGGCAATCACGGGTCTGCAGAGAGGAGAAAGGTGCTGGAAATACAGAGTACTTTTCATCATGCTAAATATATACAATTTAAAGACACATTTATTACATTTCTACTCTTTTGGTATTAAAATATTTTTCTTTGGTGAAATGATGTTAGTAGATGGTAATTATGTTGTAAAAATAAATATTCTATTTTTTAAAAATTCCAAGCACAAGAGTAGAAAGAAAACTATATAAATAAACAGTGACGCCCCACGTGCCCAATAAGCTTTAACAATTATCAACTTTGTTTATATATAGCATTAAGCAAAATTAGCAAGCCTACGTTGATCTTGAATTTTTTTGTTTGTTTAATTCCACAAAATCCAAAAGCGTGGGAAGGACTAGGCTAGGCCAGCCTCCACATTACACAGATGAAGGCCGTGAGGCTGACAGAGATGAACTAATGTGCTGGGCAGGTGCCCAGGAACAGAATGGATGCATCTGGGTGTGCCACGACACAGTTAGTACAGGCTAGAAGCATAAACCAACACCCCCGGCCCCCCCACTCTGGTTTATTACCTTGTCAGACTTCAAGGTAGACATGCTCAATCCCAGCACGTGTACCCCTGCCCAGGGTACTTCACACACACAAGGTGGATCACACAGTCCCAGCCAAAGGAGAAACCAATAGCCCACAGCCAAAACTGACTTCATCTTACGCTAAAGCGATCATCTCTCAGCCCTGGAGGGCTCCAGGAACCACGCAACAGTTCCGGTTCAAAGACTACTAGAAGTTTCTATGTTAATTCCTTACCCAGGACCTCCACCAAAAACTAATGAAAATAATGATAATAATGAAAGAAACAGGTGTGAATGAAGGAGAAGCCATGAGATGAGGTCAAAAACCAGCTACTCTTTCCTTCTTGTGGGTCCTACCATCGCCCTACCACATGGAGAGATCAAACATCAGAAAAACAAAACCCATTGCCGTCGAGTTGATTCCAACTCATAGCAACCCTACAGGACAGAACAGAACTGCCCCATGGGGTTTCCAAGGAGCGCCTGGTGGGATTCCAACTGCTGTAGCTCTTAACCACTATGCCACCAGGGTTTCCATTCAAACATCAGGGGGAGTAAAAAGACCAGGCACTCTACAAACCTGCCTCACAGAACCACCACGGTGAACATCAGATGAGATGGTACAAGCGACGGGTTTTTAAAACTTTGTAAAACTACACCAATGCAGGTTGGTGGCTAATTGATAAGAATAAAATATCTTTTTTAAAGGACTTACCTAAATTCTCAGTTTATGTAAAGAGTCGAGTTCCCTGAAGATATCTGAAGCATCTGGGAAGCCGTCAGCAGCAATACCTAAAACAATAACAAAAATCCTCAGAATCCAGTCATGTTGCAGGCGTCAGTTCTTTGCAAAAGTCTCATTCTATACGTTTGGCCATCTCTCCCGTACAAGCACGAAAGGAAATTGCTCAGGAAGCAATGAATTTCCGCTGCAACACGCGGACTGGGAATTTTCTTTACTGGGAACTGAGGTCCCCAGACACTTATTTCGAAGACCAAACTTATGTTTCTATTGGCAAAGAGGCAAAATGTATTTTTTCTTCCCTGTGGTAGGAATGCTTAATGGCTGCGAATCTGAACAAAAGCCAAAGGATATACATGCCCTCTGCCCCCAACAACACCTAACACAAAAATCTCAGGCACTGCACTCTGACGCCTTTCAAAATTGGCTTACGTGAGCCATTCTTGTCTTGTTCTTCTCTCTGCTTAGCTCCTCTAACGGGGCTGTGAAGCGGTCTCTTCTTGCTTCGATTGTTCTCTTGTTGTTCCTGGTTCTCTGCGGCTTTGGGAACTGACCACTGAGTACCTTACTCCACAGAAACACAATTGGAAGCAGTGTATCACCCACCATACAGAGTCCCTGGGTGGTACAAATGGTTGTTAACATGCCTGGCTGCTAACCGACAGGCTGGAAGTTCAAGTCCACCCAGAGACACCTTGGAAGAAAGGCCTGGTGATCTACCTCTGAAAAATCAGCCATTAAGAACTCTATGGAACACAGTTCTACTCTGACACACATGGGGTCACCATGAATCTGAGTAGACTCCATGGCAACTGGTTTTTGCTTTTTCTTTTTACCAACACAGTCAACAAAATGGTCCAACCACAGTCAACAAAGGGTCATCTGGGTGAGAACATATAAATGAGTCAAAGAAACAGAATAAACATCCAGATACAGAACCAAGTATTCATATGGAACATACCCAGGCACATAAAATCAAATCTGGGTACATATGCGAGATCAGTCAATAAATGGTGTTGGTTAGCTATTTAGGACAAGGGAAAATCTAGATCACTCTCTCTCTACTTATGGAAAAATAAACTCCAAACAGAATCAAATGAGGACTAGAAGAATATGCAAATGAATAGTTTTATAATACAGGGATAGGAAATGGCCTTTTTAGCATGATACCAAAGCTCAAACTATAAAGGACTGAAACATTTGGCTGGCTACATGTTTTTTTAATCTGTAATATATGAATGGTAAAAACAAAATAAACAAAAAATAAACATCCACACTTTTGTCAAAAGATAAAATAAGAAACTAGGAAAAATATTTACACGTGATAGATATAAAAGATTGCTATCCTAACTATGAACAAATATCTTAAAAATCATTAAGGAGATTAATACTCCCTCCAAAATGGACAAAGCAAACGATTAAAAATTGAGGTCTTATTTTTCACCTATCAGATTGGTAAAGATTTAAAAAACTCCCAATAGCCAAGATATGGACACTCTCATGATGGGTGTATAAACTGGGAAAGTCATTCTACAAACCCTTGGACAATTGTGTCAGCCTGTAAAACAGCATACCCCGTGAAGAAAGGCCTGGTGATCTGCTTCCTAAAACATTACAGCCCAGGAAACCCCATGGAGCTCAGTTCTACACATGGGTCGCCATATGTCAGAATCGATTCGATGGCAACAAGTTTGGTTTCTTTCTTTCTTTCTTTTTTTAATCCGGCAACCCCACTTCTAAGAATTTACTCAAAGCAGGTAACTGTGTAAGCAGAAAGACGGATAATACATGACACTGTTCATAATTGAGGGGGGAAAAGAAGTAAACGCCGTAAAGGCCCACAAACAGGAGACATGTGAACTAAATTACGTAGACACCGCAAATAACGAGGAGATCTATATTTATGGATGTGAAAGGACACCCATGACAGACTGCTGAGTTAATAACACAACTAAATGACCACGTGCAATATGACTCTGTGTGTGTGCGCGCATGTGCGCGCATGTGTCTGCGTGTGTCTGTGTGTGTGTGCGCGTGGGTGTGTCTGCGTGTCTGCGCGTGTCTGCGTGCGTGTGCGTGTCTGCGTGTGTGTGTGTGCATGTGTCTTGCCAGGCGACCTGAGAGATGTCCAGAAGGATGTTTATCCAAATAGTTACAATTACTTCTGGCTATCAGAATTTTAGATGATTTTTTCTTCTTTCTTCTCTTATATTGTTTGAATTTCATATAGTGAGTGTGAATTTTTTTTTTTTAAGAAAACAATGGCACTGTTTAAAAATTTTTAATCTAATGCTCAATCGTTAAGTACCACACTGCATAAATTGCTACTTCCCTTCTCTGTCCATGTCCCACCCTGATTGTACCAGGGTTGGTACCTACCACACGTGCTTACAGCGTCTGCAGACAGGGACATTCTCCTCATCTCCAGCTCCTACTCCTTGCTGAGGGCCACCTCCCCCTCGCCTTTGGCTTCCTGTATCCTGATTACAAATCTCCGTGCTGACTGACAGCGAGCCCCAGCGAGGCCGTGACTTGTGACCAAAGGTGCTGCTGGTGAGTTGCCATCGCGTCGCTTCTGACTCACGGCGACGCCCGGGTGCAGAGGAGCACCGCTCCACAGGGTGTTCAAGGCTGTGATCTTCTGGAAGCAGACCACCTTTCTTCTGAGGGGCCTCTGGGTGGGTTCAGACTGCCAGCCTTTCATCTCGTGGTGGAGCACTTGACCGTCTGTGCCACCCAGCAACCCCGTGACCAGTCCTACCTAATACAGTGTTACTGTTTATCTTCCAACTTCTCAATCATCCCATTCCATGTGAAAACAGGACAATAAATCCTGTAATTACATGAACGAAGACTTATCAAACACAATTTCATCTAAGGTTTATGACCTACAGTTGTGGTAACTGAAGCAAAAAGCTCAAAGCTAATACAAAAAAAGGCAAAAAAAAAAAAAAAACTATTTCGAGACAGGTAGATTCATTCCTGACTAACAAGAAAATTGATGAAGAGACTATTTGAATAAAAATACAAACAAAGGAGCTATAATTGTCTAGACGCGGTATCCCTATGGTTAAAATACTCTCCATTATAATATGTTTAGCCGTATCTCAGATTTATTTTTATTAGGTTATATTTATACATGAAAAGGTTTTTTTTCTATTCAGACTGTAAAATACAGAAATATATTCCCATAACAGCTCATTATGTTCAATTTATTTCCGGCAAACAAATTTATTCCTCTCATTGTCTTGTTTTCAAAAGTTCAGGAGTTCCATGTAATACGTGAATCCTCGTAATACCATTATTATAAACCTGGCTAAAAAGCCATAATCCCCTGTACATGTACAGCTCTCTTTACAGGTGTGTCAGAGGTGAAGACCAAATCTAATTAGTCCCCCTCATCTCTTGGCAGCTCTTTCTCCCAAAAATAATTTCCCAAGGAGACAGACAAAGGACAAGAACCACTATTCCATTTCAGAGATGAGCAATCCTAAGACTTAGCTTAAAATAAGTAATCTGTGACTCCTGGCATAACCCAGATAAACCACAGGCCACCCAGTGCCAACCACTGGCCTCTCTGTTCTGGCCCCTCCTCGGCCCAGGGCATTTCTCTAAACGGATGGTTGGGCAGAAGGGGCCAAACAACTTTACACTGAGAAAACACTACAATTTATTGACAAAATAGGGCAGGCGATGGCACAGTGGTTAAGAGGAAACTGTCTGATCCTGATTCTGTCACTCACTAGTGGTCATGTGGTGTTATGAACTGAATGATCCCCAAAAAGATAAGTTGAAGCCTAACCCCTGTACCTGCGAACGTGACCTTGTTTGGGGAAACAGGGTCTTTCTTTGAAGACGGTATCAATGAGGTCATATCAAAGAAGGGTGGGCCCTAATTCCTTCTGAGCGATGTCTTAGGAAAGGAGAGAGCAGACAGACACTCAGAGGGAAGACCCCATGTGAGGATACATTAACAAGCCAAGGAACTCTGAGGGATGTCCAGGGCTACCAGAAGCTGAGAGATACCTGGAAGGCTCTTCCCCTGGAAGGACAGAGGAGAGCACGATCCAGCTGATGCCCTGAATCCAGCCGATGCCCTGAATTTGGACTCCCAGCCTCCAAAACGGTGAGACAATAAATTTCTGTTTTTTAAAGCCATCCACTTCATAGCATTTTGTCATGGCAGCACTAGGAAGCTAAGACATTGGCTTCAGTCAAGTCACTTACCCTCTCTGGCCTCAGTTTCCTCCTCTGTAGTAATGCTCATCAAAAGGACTGTTGTGAGTATTAAAGGAGATTAAATACCTCAAGCAATTAGAAATACTCAGGAGTCAAACCTGACCTTGTTTGACCTCCAGTTGGGTAAGAGCAGCGATGGCAGCAGCTTCTGGTAGAAACTCACTGTCATCTGACAATAAGAAAGGCATCTCTAGACAATCGTCTCCCTAGACAACCGTCTCCCTAGAGAACCGTCTCCCCAGAGAACCGTCTCCCTAGAGAACCCCCTCCCTAGAGAACCCTCTCCCTAGAGAACCCTTGCCCTAGAGAACC